GGAATGCCGGAGCCCGGGATCTTCGCTTGGGGTGAGGCTGGGAATGTGGGGATTGGGAATTTGGAATTCCCAAATGGGGATTCCCCTCGCCCTCCTCACTATCCCGCGTTTCCCAGAGCCGACATCTGGCGGGAATCTCACTGTGGTCGCTGTGTCCGTCATCGCTGCCATCCTCATCCTCATCGTCCTCATCGGATTCGGTGTCTGGAAGCTCCAATCCGGTAACACATGGGATAGGGGTTGGGAAGGGACACAGATCCACCCAGCACCGTTCTGGGAATCCTGTGCCACTGATCCCACTTTATTTCCACAGGGAGGAGGGACAGGAATGGATACAACCAGGCAGCCGGTGAGTTCCAGTGGTGGATCCAGCTCTGGATCCTCTCTGTGCGGATCCCAGGATGGATCCTGGGGTTAATCCCACTGTGTGATCTGTGCTAGAATCTCATGGATCTTCTCTTTCTGCAGGAAAAGACATGGGAATGAACGGCTCCACTGCAGGTACAGCACGGGATCAGGGTGGGATTCCAGAAGGAGATTGGGGCAGCATAGACAGACTGGGATCAGGGAGGGATTTCCGGATCAGGGCAGGGTCCAGAGTGGAATCAGGGAGAATTGTAGAGTGAGGTTGGGGCTGGATTATGGAGTGGGCTCAGGAGGGATGGATGGAGCAGGATTGGTGTGGGAGGGATGAAGTGGGATAAGGGGTGGATTCCAGACAAGAATCAGGTGGGATGGAATGGAGCAGGATCAGGTTGGGGTTCCAGAAAAGGACTGGGGCAGGATGGATGGGGTGGGATGGATGGAGCAGGATTGCAGCAGGAATGGGGTGGGATCATGTGGGATTTTGGAGCAGCTCCTGCTCTCCATGGGCTCCAGCCACGTCCATCCTGTGGAATGGGGACAGGGACAGGGTGACACCATGACTCTCTCTCATCCTAGCAGGAATCGCCGCCTGAGCAATCCATGGAGTTGGATCTGGCCCCTTGCCTCTTCCCTGGAAAGCTGCGAGCTGCCAGGAGAGCTCATCCCGCTGCTCCCACCCACCCCACAGCTCTTGCTAACAGATCCATTTCCCATTTTCCAATGTTTTAAAGGCAAGAACCACAAATATTCACAATGCTTCACTTCTGGTGTGAAACTATCCTGCTTTGGGCAATAAATCTGGGTTCCCTCCTCCAGTGTCTGGCAGTTCGTCTCCTGGAGCCAGGAATGGGAATGGGGTCACTGCAGCAGGGATGGGAACACCAGGAGCAGGATGGGGAGCTTAGGAGCTGGACTGGGACACCAGGAGCAGGATGGGGGCTTGTCAGCCACACCCGGCTGTTGGGTTTTAGCTGACTAGAGATTGCCAAAGTAAAGGCTAATTCCAAGTCGTGCACCTGCAGGATAGCGTGCCCTTGGGCCTAGCTGTAGTATAATAACAAACAGTGAAAGAGACATGAGAAAAGAAAGATGTAACCCCTAAGGAATGAGGAAGAGCTGATATTGTGGTGTGGCCAATGGACGGTGTAAATTACAGAATATTCTTGAGCTTATTACTTGCTGTATAAGTGTCTGATGGTGTCTTCAATAAACGGAACTTGCTGATGACTCATTGAGCCCCGAGTTTTCCCTGCACCAGACAAATGGCTGGAAAACCGCAACAATTGGCGCCCGAACAGTGACGCTATGGACTCTACTGACCCTACGGACTTTACAGAAGACTTGGGCCTGCGAGCCACAGTCCGGTGCAGTATTTCAGTGTCAGTCCCAACGCAGCCCGGGAGGCACAAAAAGCAGGCTCCTGCCTAAGGCAGCCATATAGAGGAGACCTGGAGAAAGGCAAAAGGGCGGGCTTTGGTGCCCTGGCAACCTCATAGGAGAGTCCAGCTGACTGAACACTGCCAACGTCCTGGAAAGGCTGCAGCGCGCTGAATATCAGGTTAAAAGGTAATACAGAGACAAGCGGCATATAATCCTCTTAAATGCTTTTTAGAAAAGTGGGGACTATAGACTGTCGACTTGGGAAGAGAATTCCCGAGATTGCTGCATATAGACTTGCAAAAACGTGCGTTGTGGTGCTGGCGCTGCAAGTA